TGTTCCTCTACGGGGAATCATAGGATGATGACCTTGCTCTTGTCAAAGTTGATCTTTAGTCCCAAGATAGCCTTAAAGTAGAGGAGTAGGAACTTAAGATTCACAATGTCTCGGTCGAATCCCTCCATCATAATCATGGTCTCATCAACATATTGAAGGTGGGTGACCCCCTCCTCCCGAGATCAGGCGACCCACTACCCCCGATAGGTGACCTGCCATCCTAGCTTTATCCAGGATTCTTGCTAATGCATCCACAACGAGGTTGAAGAGAACAGGGGAAATCGGATCCCCTTGCTTCACTCCCGTCGAGGACGTAAAGAATGGTACCACCTTGCCATTTATGTTAGTCGTAGTCTTTCCAGATCGGACCGACTGCATAATCCAGTTGCACCATCTGTCCTCAAAGCCCTGGCACTCCAGAACTAACCGCAAGAAGTTCCAATCCAGTCGATCATAGGATTTCTGGAAATCCAGCTTGAGGAAGATGCCCTTATGGCTGCGCATCCGCACCTCATGAACAATGTCGTGAAGGGCCAGGATCCCATCATGATTCTGTCGCCCCTTCAAGAATGTCGACTGGAGGGGTGGTCTAGTTGCGCGGCCACTGGCATTCAACGAGTCGCGCATACTTTGAAGAAAATACGCTCGAGCACGTTGATGACCGTGATAGGCCTGAAGTGCCTAATGTCCGTCACCCCAACTATTTTGGGGATCAGGGTAATGACTCCAAAGTTTATTCGCGCCATGTCAAATGTTCCAATGTAAAATTCATGAAACATGGGCATGATCATAGGTTTAAGGACATTCCATAATTTCTAGAAGAACGCAATCAGAAGGTCGTCAGGACCCGGTGCCGACCCCGCCTTCATAGAGGCGACCGCCCTACCCACCTCTTCGGGCGAAAATGGGGTAGTAAGTCCCGCATTCTCAATGTCGGAAACCCTGTCCGTTGTCGGCCAGGAATTTTTCGCCAAAGAAACCCCACCACGGGGTTCCGCCGCTAAGAGCCTCTTAAAGAAGGAGTAACTGTGAGACATAATCTCATCCGGACGCTTCAGGAGGGCATCTCGCTCCCAGAGGCACGGGATAGCGAACTTCCGGCGCCTTCCATTAGCTATTGCCTGGAAGTAGGCGGTGTTAGAATCATCTTGGAGGAGCCATTTCTGCCCCCTCCTTTGCTAGAACAATTCCTCTCCCTTGAAAATCTCCACCGGGGAGGATTCAAGGGAGTACCACTGCAACCAATCGTCGGACGATAGACCGACTGAATCAGCAGCTACGTCTAGGGCCTTAATCTGATCTAGCAAGGCCCCTTTGCGGGCCCTTAGATCAGTGCCCAAGTTGGCGCCCCAACCCCACATAAACTTGCAGGAGATCTTAGAGCAATGATGCCAGATATCTATAGCACATAATACCCGCGGCGGGTTGGCTGCCGCTTGAACCCAATCGTACCTTACCATTTCAAAGAACCCCGGCTGTAGCAGCCATGACAGTTCAAAATGGAAGCGCTTGGACCACGGCAGGGGCCCTTCCCCTGACGAGAACAATAGGGGAACATGATCAGAACCAATCCTAGTGACCAGCCACAGAGAGCGCAGTGGGAACATAATCTCCCACTGGATAGATACCAGGATCCAATCCAGCACACTTCGGATAGGGTCCACCTGTTTATTGGTCCATGTGAACCTAGCCCCTGCACAGGCTATCTCACGTAGGGCCATATCCGCTATGCAATCATTGAACATGCGCATCCGGAGCCGGTCGATATTAGTAGAGCTCTTCTCAGCCTCCTGACGGATAAGGTTGAAATCCCCAGCGACTACAACCGCCGTAGTGCAACGTTCTACCTTATCTTTCAGCTGCCCAAGAAGTCCACCGTCCGCCCATGATCAGCCGAGTCTTGACAATGATTACCTCCGAGCCAAGGTTCACACGTCGGTCGGTAATGGACATACCGAGAAAAAATTCCCCTCGGTCTATAACCTCAACCGAGATAGAGTAGTGTCGAAAACGTCTTAAATTATGGTATATAGTAGTATACTCCACTTACTAACGTACCTAGCATTTGGAGCGAGTAATAGATCCACCCCGGCCGCCCGACATGTCCATGTGGAGCTCTAATTCCACTCAAAGTTTCCATCCTCGATCCAAGGTTATACGATGTTGGCGCCGCCTCCCGCAGCGCCGCACTTCTTCTTCTTCCTCTCCTCTCACAACTCTCACTTGTCTTTCTCTCTTCTCAAGAACACACACAAGGGAAAGAAGACTCAACACACACACACACACTTCACCGTGGAGAAAGCCAGCTTTGCTATGTTGCTCCCGGTGAGAACACACACTACATTGTTTTTCCCAGCCCTCTCGGCTTAACTCAAACAACAAGCTTTACATCTCTTATATAGAGACTCACGCGCACACACAGCCACGGCCACACCGGCCACTAACCCAGGCACGCACCACTAACTAATCCCTAGCTACATGCACTACATGCACGCCCACGTCCAGACTACACGGCCAAGCCGTTCAACTAACCGACTGCATGCAACCTGACCAATTCTCCTGGCTCCAACTTGATCTATCCAGCCAGCCGGTTTGGCTTCATCCTGCACGCGTCTCGCCGCTTCCCACGGCTATACCACCCCGGCATCAAGCCTTGCGCCGTATCACACGGCACCGCGCCTTCACGCCGTCATCGGCAGCCCGGCATCTCGCCGTATCACACGGCAGCCCGGCATCTCGCGGTCTCCGCATGCCTCCGCTGAAACTTTACCGGACTAGCTACTCTCTAACCTATGCAACATGCATAACAAAAGCAAACTAAATATGCAGATACATGAATCAAGATTAAACCTAACATTTTCCCTCCTAATCTTGATTCTCCAATCTTCACGCGGTTCACCCGCTGCCACTTGACGACACAATCGCGGCGCTGCACACCTTGCCTGGACCGACGCCATCGCAACGCCCGCGTCCATCACCATGTACTCTTGCCGCACGCAGCGGCCACCTCTTGACGTGGACGACGCTGTCGCAGCGCCGATCACCACGCCGTCTTCGCCAAGCGGCATCGCACCGCAACTTTTGTTGGCTTCACACCAACTTTCCATGATGACGATGGCATCACACCACCGTCGTCGGCATCACGCCGACTCTTCTTGTGGCAGCTTCGCACCGCCATCTTCACATAGCGGCACCGCATGGCCACCATCCTCCTTCTTGCGCCGTCGGCCTCCATCTCGCATGAAGTCCGTCGCGCCACAACCGACGCCGTCGCAGCGCCGGTCACCACGGACCATCTTGTCGTGGATGACGTCCTCGCGACGCCGATCATCGCACCACCTTCATCTCGTGGCATCGCACCGCAACCGGCCGCCCGCGGCATCGCGCCCCTGCCAGCCATCACCTCGCGTCGGCGTCCTCCACCTCCCATGGAGTCCATCACCATGTACTCTTGCCGCACGCAGCGGCCACCTCTTGTCGTGGATGACGTCCTCGCGACGCCGATCATCGCACCACCTTCATCTCGCGGCATCGCACCGCAACCGGCCGCCCGCGGCATCGCGCCCCTGCCAGCCATCACCTCGCGTCGGCGTCCTCCACCTCCCATGGAGTCCACCACGTCGCCGCCGCCGCCGCGGATCAACCTGGCTCTGTATACCAATTGTTGGCGCCGCCTCCCGCAGCGCCGCACTTCTTCTTCTTCCTCTCCTCTCACAACTCTCACTTGTCTTTCTCTCTTCTATGGTTTCTCTCAAGAACACCTGAACGCACACATATACACCAAGGAGAAAACCAGTGCTGTTTTGCACGACAAGCTCTCCTCCTTGATGAACACAAGAGACTACATTTTTCTACAGCCCTCACGGCCTCTTTTCTTCATTACTCCACTGAAACATATATATACAAGGACCATACACGCACTGGCCAGCCACCTCTCTCGGCAACTAATCCCACTAATCTATGCATGCACTAACAGCCTTATCCTACTCCTGAAATCACTCCAACGGCCACACGACTCGGCCATATCTAAAACTAGCTCCACGTCTCAACGTGGCCTACTACTTCATGCACGAAGCTAGCTAGCTACAACCAACCAGCACACTCTAACTAACTACGGCTTGGCCAAATCACTCGGCTCAACCTGAACGAGCAGCCCATCATCCTCCAGCTTCGTCGCGTCTCGCTGCTTCTCACAGCCTCGCCGTATCGCACGACATCATCAGCATCTTGCCGTGCTCACCGCATCGCACGGCAGCCCGACATCTCGCTTTCTTCACGCGCGTAGCTGAAGTATCATTGGCCTACATACACTGCCCTAGATCATCTAAACTACATGCAAACTCAAAACTAAACATGCATGCTGGTATATCATGACAAGATTAGTGCTAACATACGACAAATAAAGAAACAACACGTCCAATCGGTCGACGTAATCACTTGCGTATGTCCTTCATATCACGACACCAATTCAAAGACGTGGTCAGTATGTTTGCCCTATAAATAATGTATGGTAAAGATCGGCAGAGCCATGCCAAGCCAACGCATAGCATCATCATCAGCAATAGGAACACTAGCTACTGTCCACAATAGCCCATAGTCGTCTCCGCCGGAAATGGGTTCTTCTCCAGCACCGGCGGGCGAGAGAGCGGCACGCCGTGTGCCTGCCGGCGGCAGCGCAGGGGCACATCATCCCCATGCTCGACGTGGCCAAGATGCTCCACGCCCGCGGCTTCCACGTCACCTTCGTCAACACCGAGTACAACCACGCCCGCCTCGTCCGCGCGCGGGGCGCGGCCGCGGTGGCCGGCGTCCCGGGGTTCCGCTTCGCCACCATTCCAGACGGCTAGCCGCCGTCGGACGGCGACGTCACGCAGGACGTCACGTCGCTGTGTAAGTCCCTCACGGAGACCTGCCTCGGACCCTTCCACCGCCTCCTCGCGGAGCTCAATGACCCCACCACTGGCCACCCGCCCGTGACCTGCGTCGTCGCAGACATCATTATGGACTTCTCCATGGAAGCGGCCAGGGAGCTCGGCCTCCCCTATGTCCAGCTGTGGACCTCCAGCGCCGTCAGCTACGTCGGTGTCCGCCACTACCGTCTCCTATTCGAACGTGGCCTCGCACCGATTAAAGATGTCAAGCAGCTGACAAACGAGTACCTTGACACACCGGTGGAAGACGTGCCGGGCATGCGGAACATGAGGTTCAGAGACTTCCCGACCTTCATACGCAGCCCGGCCTCGGACGACTACATGCTGCATTTCGCGCTCAGCATTGCGGAGCGCGCGGTCGGCGCGTTGGCGATGATCGCCAATACCTTCGACGACCTTGAGGGAGAGGCGGTGGCGGCCATGGAGGCGCTCGGCCTGCCCAAGGTCTATACCATCGGCCCGCTCCCGCTGCTCGCGCCGAGCTTAGACATCAGTATGAGCCTGTGGAAGCAGCAGGAGGAGTGCCTCCGGTGGCTCGACGACAAGGAGCCCGGCTCGGTCGTGTACGTCAACTTTGGCAGCATCACCGTCATGACCAACAAGCAGCTGGTAGAGTTTGCCTGGGGGCTGGTCAAGAGTGGCAAACATTTCCTTTGGATCATCCGTCCCGACCTCGTCAAGGGCGACACTGCAGTGCTCCCCCCAGAATTTTTGGTCGAGACGGCGGAGCGTGGGCTCGTGGCCTCCTGGTGCCCCCAGCAGCAAGTGCTGAACCACCCGGCTGTGGGCGCGTTCCTGACGCACAGTGGCTGGAACTCAACGATGGAGAGCATGTGCGGTGGCGTGCCCATCATCAGCTGGCCATTCTTTGCGGACCAGCAGACCAACTGCCGGTACCAGTGCAACGAATGGGGAGTCGGCATGGAGATCGACACCGACGTCCGGCGCGACGCCGTTGCAAACCTTATCATGGAGCTCATGGAGGGGGAGAATGGAAAGGTGATGAAGAAGAAGGCACATGAGTGGAGGGAGAAAGCGGTCAAGGCGACCAAGCCCGGCGGCTCATCTCACGACAACTTTGATGCGCTGATTCGCGATGTGCTAGCTCCTAGCCACCATGGGTTAAGAAATAATAGTGTACTCGCTTTAAGTTTTATTTTGCTCAATGCCATTTTTTTAGGGACATTCATATTTGTGCCCCTAACTCGAACCCGCTACTCAAATTTACCCCTAACTTTTTGATGTGCTCAAATTTGCCCGTAAAAAGCATTTTAAGTCACAGGAATGCCCTTCTAGCTGGTCAAAGTTGTTTGACCAAAATTTTGAAAATTCATAACAAATTCATTTGAACTTAGAAGAATGCAAAATAAGATATCAAAATGCTCATAAAAACAACACATATATGGACATGTCATTTACGTTCATGACAAAAGTACTCTTTAAAGCTTTTTAGGGTTTATAACATAAAAAAAAGTTTAGGTGTGAATTCAAGTAAATGCACATGTAGGTGAGGGACGTAAATGACATGCGCGTATATGTGATGTTTTTATGAACGTTTTGATATTTTATTTGCATTTTTCTGACTTCATATGAATTTGTTATGAATTTTCAAAGTTTTGGTCAAACAACTTTGACATGATGGAAGGGCATTCCTGCGACTTAAAATGCTTTGTAGGGGCAAATTTGAGCACATCAAAAATTTAGGGGTAAATCTGAGAGTGGGCGCAAATTAGGGGCATAAATGTAAATGTCCCTTTTTTTATGGAGGAGGCCGGTTTTGAGAATATCTCAGTAATCTCAGCAAATTACCGTCCAATAAAATCAAATATATTTTTATTAAGTATTTTTTACCAAAAACAAATGTAATTGACCCGCGGTATTGCAATTAGTAGTTCTTATCTGGTGGCTTCGTTACTTTCCAGAAGTCGATTCTAAACCGGTACCTCGCACTTGGACGAAACGATCATTTACCACCGTACCAAGGCATGTGAAGTACTCCCTCCTTCTCAAAATAAGTGTCGCTCTTTCATGTTAAAATAAGTGTCACAAATTTAGTACAATTTTAGCACACAATTGTACTAAGTCAGCGACACTTTTTTTTTTGCGGAAAAGAGACACTTTTTTTGGGATAGAGGAAGTAGTAATGATAGGATATACACCTTATTTGAACATATTCAAAAGCTGGAAACCAGTCGGTTTTCATAAATACTAAACGGTAAAAATATTTTTTTTGCGGGTAACGGTAAAAATAACTTGACATTCTCTATGATGTACATCTCTTCGTCGACAAAGCATTCATGGCGATGATGATACATATTCTTTTGGGGCGTGTCCGTATGCCGCACGGTGTGAGATGCCAACACGTCAAAAGTATTCATGGAGATGATGATACCCCCTCCCCACAACCTCTCCAATTGGATATCATCAATTTTTGTAATGAGAGACGTTTGACCTATGTTTGAAAGGTGTAAAAGTCTTGCTCAACATCTGGTTTGTGTTTAAGAAGATGAATTCATGAAAATCAGTTAGTATCATCCGCATTGCCATCATAATACTTGTAGCCAGTGGAGGATGCAAGAAGAGGACCTATGGGTTGACCCAAACTCGTGGGCATGCACATGATGCAACAAAGGCATGGTAAGCATGCTGTCGTAAGACCCATGTCGCCCAACCATCGCCAGCTTACTTTCCTTGAGGTTGATACCGGAGAGGCAACGCATCGATGAAGTCGCGCTTGCTCTAGAAAACTTGACGGCGGAGAGTGGAAGCGTTTGGGAGCGGAGAAGGAGGTACATTGACGAAGTCGGAGCCCGTGTCTGGGGATCAACACGTGGTTGCGCATCCTGTCCACGACGAGGTTGATGACGTTATAGGTGAAACCTTAACCTGTCTAGTACTAATTCAGATGAAGTCCAAGGGACAACGAGAATGGTTTAACAAATAACATGCTTGGGAACATTTTAGAATGCAGCGCCTCTGAAATTTGGAGCGCTAATGCAACAGTGAATCTGGAACCCAAAGAGGCCCAAGTCTCTCTCTCTCTCTCTCTCTCCCCGCAAAGATCCTGTATCATACTATATAGTTGATCCCCACTACTTCCATTTATCTTTACATGTACACGTGCTATCTCATCAAGGACCATGGAAATAAAATAAACAACAAGAAGAAAATGGAGGAGCTAGTATCAAACACTAGTCACCGGGCCTCAGAGTCGCTGCAATTTTGTCTTTGTCAGAGGGTTGGGTAGCAGGCCAAAGGGTGAGATACTAAAAGTTATAGGCCTCTTTGATTTGTAGGATTTTCAAAGCGTAGGAATATGAGAAGTATAGGATTGAGGTGGCAATGCTTACTTGAATCCTATACGATTAGCAATGAGTGTTTGATGCCATAGGAAAAATAAAGGAATTGTAAAAAGAGATTGGAGTGGATGTTAGATTTTCTATAAAATGTAGTACAAAAGATTTTATAGGGAAAATTTCTGTGGGATCCAATCCTATGAATCAGAGAAACAACATAGGAAAAAAATCCTAAGGATTTCAATCCTACAAAAATCCTATAAAATTCCTTTGAATCAAAGAAGCCCTAACATGGATTTGTGATCCGAGATGGACATGCGGATGTCAGGGGATCAGCCGCCGGCAAACTGCAGGGTGTTGGGAGTGCCATTCATGGCGAAGCGACAGCTTGTTTGGGATGCAATGCATGTTGCTGCTACCTGGGGATGATGAAAATCCAAGGGGAGTCCGATGGGCAGAGTTTAGAGAAATCAAACTGCTTGCTCCTCGAAACTTCATTTCTAGTTGCTTTTCCTTTGCACCTCGTGAATGTAATAAATTACCCCATGCATTAGCTGCATTCGGGTCTAGATTGCCTGCTGCTGGATAGCGATGGGCTGAGGATTTACCTGACAATGTAAACATTCTTGAGGGCCAGCCGGAGCGCTGAGAGAGTGTGATGTATGGAATCTTTTTTTTCCATTAAAAAAACAAAAAGGGACCATCTCAATTCTCAGCATGCATGAGGGAAAAACATTTCTTTTAGATGGGAAAAAACATTATTAGTTGATCCCCACAAATTTTGATTATCTCAAGATGTACATATGCCAAATGCATGACACCTCATCATAGCCCCACAGCAATGTGCATGGAATTTTTATATTATATTATATACTTATATTTAATTTAAAAATTAACTATAAAATAATCAAATACAATATATGATATGAATTTTCAATTTTAGTTCATACCCCCTCCGTCCCATAATATAAGATGTTATTGCATCCAATACGTGAGTAAATCGGATGCAATAACGTCTTATTATGGAATGGAAGGAGTATATTATGAATTCAAATATTTATGTTTCATACAATCAACTCTAATTAAAAATATTCCAATCAATTTTTGCAGCAACACGCGGGGTGTCATCTAGTTACTCCAAAAGGTAGTTGACCCTTTAAAAGAGGTCGGCCAGGAGCTGAGGACAGGCCGGCTATGCGCTGAAAGGCAGTGAAGATGTTGAAAAAAATCAGAGCATGTATCGGCAAACAGCGCAGACGGTTCTGTACCGGCAAATGGCGACCTTAATCTTGATGATGCCCATAGGTCAGCCTGTCTGGTTTGGGGTCTTCATCAATATTAAGTTCTTTTTGCGGGGGCATCAATTTAAGGTTAAGTAGTTGTTCAGATGAAGTTCAAGCAATGATGGAATATAGCTGCAAGAGGCGTCTAAAATGAAAATGCCTAGGAATCACATATATGCTAAATAGAATTATTTGTACATTTTTAGCAACAATCAAGTTCAACATGAATGGTGGCTATGTACAATGATCAAAAGTTGCGAACAAAGCGAATATCCATTCCTGAGCCCAGTCTCATCTGCACCCGGTGAAGAGAAAATTCACAAAAAATACAAAACAAAATGAAAATTCCATTTTTTTGGCATGGAAGATAATTCGGTGCGCTCTAAATTTCAGATCATTTGGATATATGAGTAACTCTCAGCAAAAAAGATAAATTGGGTCAGAACAATACATGAACATAAAACCTTTCACAGATCTCAATTTTGTCTTTTTTGCCGAGAGCTACTCAATTGTCCAAATGAACTAAAATTAGGAGCGCATCTCACACACCAAAAAACGATTGTTTTTTAATTTTTATTGTTTTTTTCTATTTTCTGTTCATCCTGGGTGTAGCTGAGCTTGGGCACCGAATTGCATCGTCCCAAACAAAGTGCTTATCTAGAATAACTCAATTTGTTTTATGAAAAACCTCATCGTGAGGGCAGGGGTTCTTGCGTTGCATTAAGAAGAAAAGAGATGGTCCAGTATATATGAACAGAATATTGAAAATGAAGAAATCTTTCCAAAGCTTCGAACATTTTTGTGAAGCATGAACATTTTTTTGTAAAATGTGAACAATTTATGAAACGTCGTACAATTTTGAAAAATGCAAAGAAAAATATTAAAACAAATGCAAACAAAATTTGAACATTTCAACAATTTTCTAAATTTTACAATTAAAAGAAACAAAAAAGAAGAAAATGAAAAAGAAGCAGAAAAAAATACAAACTGAAAAGAAAAAAGGTTTGGGAATCTTCTAGAATGGTCCCTAAACCAGTATAATCAAGCTAGGAAGCTCGAGAAGGTTCCCAAAACCGTAATTGCCCAGGTCGCGTACTACAGGAGATGGCCGGCCCAATTGATCGCACGCCTGTGCGTTTCGTCGACCATGGATGAATAGGGTTTTCCTGGATACAGAGAGCATCAAATATTGTTTCCGGACTAATGCTTCCTGTGTCTCTCACGTGCCATCTAATGTGGGCTGGCCTGGAGGATATTCACCGCACTGTGATCTAAATAAACAATCAAAGCAAACCCTCTTGCAAACACGAGCCATCTCCCCCTAAAAACATGAGCCATCTAAAATTGTCTTACAAAAAATGAGCCATAAAACAACCTTTGAAAAATTAATATGAGCATCTGTATCTGAACACATTCGTTGAATGGGGTAATGATGTTGATCAATATTTTTTGCAGAGTCACGCAAATTGATCATAAAAACATGGTCATACTTTTTTCGGGCAAATTTAACTCGACTGTGAATTTCACGGAATAGTGTCCAGTACTTTTACTGCCTCGTATCGTCTTATAGTTTGAATTGTCTATTTGCATGTGCATCTTGTTTTCCCTGAATACATAAAATCTACAGATGGTAGTAGCTTGCTAGAACCTATAGGTACATATCTATATCTATACCACTATATATATCTAGGTCTAGGAACATGTATCAAGCGTCAGATATCTCTGATCTACTCAAGGAACGGCATGCAGAAATCCAGAAGATTAGTCGTTCACGGAACAAAGCTGGTCATGCTATGCCAGCAATT